AAGTTGTTTGAGTCTGTTCAATTATCTACTTTGGAGTGTGAGAGTTGTAAGTTAGGAAAGCATTGTAGATAGTCTTTTAAACCAAGTAATAAAAGAAGTACTTCTGCTTTTAATATTGTTCACACTGATGTATGGGGGCCATATCAAATCCCTTCCATGGGAGGATTCTGTTACTTTCTCTTGCTTGTAGATGATTATACACGATATTCTTGGATATATTTGATGAGATCACATGATGAGGTTCCTAACTTAGTACGACAATTCCACCAGATGGTCYTCACACAATTTGGAGTGAGAACTAAGGCTTTTAGATCAGATAATGCYAGAGAGTACTTTGAGAAGGACCTAACCACGTATCTCTTAGAACATGATGTAGTTCATCAGAGYAGTTGTGCATATACACCGCAACAGAATGGAGTTGCTGAGAGGAAAAACAGACACATTGTGGAGGTGGCAAAGAGTCTTATGGTGTGTGCTTCAGTTCCTATGCAGTTCTGGGGAGATGCAGTTCTTACATCCGTACATGTGATTAACCGTGTTCCTTCACGAACTTTGGGGTTTAAGGTGCCATTTAGCCTTCTTTTTCCAGATGGAGAGATATTTCGTATACCTCTGAGGGTTTTTGGTTGTGTTTCTTTTGTTCACATTCTTGGCCCTCATTGCAAGAAATTTGATCCTAAGGCCAATAAATGTGTTTTTCTTGGGTATGCTCAGAACCAAAAGGGGTATTGCTGTTATGACCCAGTGCCGAGGAGCAGATTTGTCACTATGGATGTTACCTTTTTTGAATCCACATTCTTCTTCTTGAGTAGTTCTCCTCGGGGGGAGAGTTTTGGGGAGAAGAACTCACAATCTGTTCCTCTTCCTGATTCTGTGGTGCCTCCATCAGTTCAGCCAGCATCTACGGGCAGCCTCAAAGCAATATCAGCGCCGGCAGATGATGGTTGACTCCACACATCCTCAACCCACACCACTCTCTGTCAGTCCTTCTGAAACTCCAGATTCGGCAGATACAGTTCCAGGTATTCCTCTTGAGCTTGAGCTTGTTATGTTTTCTTATGATAATGTTTTTGTCCCTAACACCATTGTTGTTGCTGATCCCACTGACCTTGATCTTCCCATTGCACTTTGTAAGGGGAAGAGAAAGTGTACAATCCACTGCATTTCACACCATCTTTCCTACAGTGCCTTATCACCCTCCTACCATGCTTTTGTTTCTTCCCTAGATTTTGTGTCTATACCCAGGAATGTTATTGAGGCTCTCTCCAAACCTGAGTGGAAAACAACCATGCGAGATGAGATGGATGCTTTGGTCAAAAACCAAACTTGGGAAATAGTTGATCTCCCCCCAGACAAGGAGACAGTCGGATGTCGATGGGTATTCACAGTGAAGTATAAGGACGATGGCAAGATAGAGAGGTACAAGGCAAGGTTGGTAGAAAAAGGGTATTACTCAGACCTATGGTGTTGATTATCTGGAAACCTTTGCACCAATAGCTAAGATGAGTTCAGTTCGTATCCTTTTATCTCTAGCAGCCACCTATTCATGGCCCTTGTTCCAGCTTGATGTAAAAAACGCTTACCTTAATGGTGACTTACAAGAGGAGGTATATATGGACAGTCCAACAGGCTTTTATGAAAATGTTGGTAAAGGAAAGGTGTGCAGACTCATCCCTGTATGGACTGAAACAGTCACCTAGGGCTTGGTTTGATAGGTTCAGAGGGGCACTCATCCGTTTTGGATACAGACAGACACTGTCTAATCACACCCTCTTTGTGAAGAGGAGAGATGCTTTGGTGTCAATTCTGATTGTGTATGTGGATGATATAGTGGTGATAAGAAATGATTTGGAGGAGATTGATGATCTCAATAAATCATTACAACAAGAATTTGAGATCAAAGATCTTGGTGAGCTCAAATACTTCTTAGGGATTGAAGTTGCAAGATCTAAGCATGGGATCTTCATTTCACAGAGAAAGTATGTAGTTGACCTACTGCGAGAGATTGGGAAGCTGGGGACCAAACAGTAGACACTCCTATTGATCCAAATCACAGAATTAATGATGTGGATGGTGAATTGGTAAAGGATGTGGGGAGATATCAAAGAATGGTGGGCCGACTGCTGTATTTGTGTATGACACGACCAGATATTTCTTATGCTATCAGTGTTGTGAGTCAGTACATGCATACACCTCGGGTTCAGCACTAGGAAGCTATTGAGAGAGTACTTGCATATCTAAAAAAGCACCCAGGAAGAGGCATTCTTTTCTCAAATCATGAGAATCTGAAGCTAGAATCCTATACAGATGCAGACTGGGCAGGATGCTTAGATGATAGGAGGTTTACATCAGGAGTGTACCTTTGTAGGTGGAATCTTGATCTCCTGGAAGAGTAAGAAGCAAGCGGTTGTGGCAAGGTCAAGTGTAGAGGCCGAGTATAGATCCATGGCTCATGGTGTCTCAGAACTTCTTTGGGTTAGATCTCTTTTGAGTGAGATTGGGGTGAAAGCAGAGGAACCTATGATGTTATATTGTGACAATCAGGCTGCAATCAATATTGCCCACAATCCAATTCAGCATGATAGGACAAA